AAGAAAGAAAGAGAAAGATAAAGAGAAAAGGGAGGAAGGAGGAAAGAAGGAAGGAAGGAAGGAAGGACGGACACGTCTGTTGATGAGTTGTTATGTAAATACGATTGAGGGTATTACAAACCACATCACACATGGTTTTCTCATCAGGTCCCATATGAGCAATTTGGGGACTTAAAGCTGGGGAAAATCTCCTTTCCACTAACCAAAGGGTACGATTGTTCCTCTCAGAATTGTTCAGTGAGTCCAGCTCTCTTTTCTTTGTAGCGTCCAAGAGGTGCAGAGCCAGATCTAAAGCTCATCTGTAGTCGCTGAGTTAGCTGTACGATCCGCGTAGTCTTTTGCGTTTTTATGTTGATTTTCTGTTGGTGTTTTAGTCTCTCCCAACTTGTCAGTTTCTGCTGCTACTCTTTCTGCTGGTGTGGGGCTCACCTGAGATACTTTGTAGAATGAGTTAGAAAGAATGAAAATCTATTTCTATTGAAAGGATTTGAGGGCACATCCGTCCCATCGTGAAGTTCCCATTGTAGCTGTGCTCACGCTGTTTCCCCAGCCTTCTTCCTCGTACGAGAGTAGGCACTACAAACTCAGGATTTCAATGCTACAGAGGCCAAGAATAAAAATGGACTCAGAAGTAGCCATGTGTAGGGAAGGGGAAGGGAGATGGAGGGGAATTTGACTCATGGATTGTGGGGAGGAGAGAACTCGATACATGCCTTCTGGGCGTGCTTCTGGCCGAGGTTTCTCCTGGACAAGGGAATACTAAACCATCCAGCTCCCATGAGAGAGCTTTACCCTAGCACAAAATCCAGGCGGAGTAGGACGCGGGTTCCTCTCCAATGACTGCCCTTGACCCAGGTGTGCAGGATAGAGAAACCTGCTTACCTCATCCTGAGGTGCACACTCCCCCATCGATGTATATTATACAAGCTCAAAATACGTTTTCTGATTGAGAGGCGCTATGGCTACATTGACCAGAGTGTGAGCTCAGACACACACACACTGGGTCTAAATCCTGGCTCTCTCTTCATCAGGTGCACGACCTCACATAAATCGCTTACTGTCTCTGAGCCCGTTTTCTCACCTGTAGAATGGGCTAATACTCCACATATTGGGTTTAGAGGATGATTAGAAGTCAGGAATAGTTGCAGATTGTTCCTAATGGTGCCTGGGCTGTGGCAGAGGAGCAGCGGTGGTGGGGGGAGGAGGGCGGTGTGGGGAGGAGATCAGCACTACTCGTCTTCACTGGCAGGAACCCTCAAGGTGCCCAGGGCAGGGGGTTGAGTGACTTTACCTTACTGGTTCAGAAACTCTATGTTCCAGGACAGGACCCATTTCAAATAGGCTCTCCTTCTGCCACATGAATTTTGCACTGTGTTGGAAATTCTTCTTTTTTTAATGTTATATTTATGTTTGAGAGAGAGAGAGAGAGAGCGTGAGTGGGGGTGGAGCAGAGAGGGAGGGAGACACGGAATCCAAAGCAGGGTCCAGGCTCTGAGCTGTCAGCACAGAGCCCAAAGCAGGACTTGAACTCATGAGCTGTGAGATCATGACCTGAGCCGAAGTTGGACACTCAACCAACTGAGCCACCCAGGTGCCCCAGGAAGAACATCTATTTTCTTTTTTTTTTTTTTAATGTTTATTTATTTTTGAGAGAGACAGAGACAGAATGTGAGTGGGTTAGGGGCAGAGAGAGAGGGAGTCATAGAATCGGAAGCAGGCTCCAGGCTCTGAGCCATCAGCACAGAGCCCGATGCGGGGCTCGAACTCACAAACCATGAGATCATGACCTGAGCTGAAGCTGGACGCTCAACCAGCTGAGCCCACCCAGGTGCCCATGTGTCAGAAATTCTAACACTTGGACATTTACACAGTGAGTCTCACACTATAGCTCATACCCAAGACTGACACAAAAGTCCTCAGATGTGGGGTTTTTGTTCTGATTTCAAAATGTTGCAAAATGTGTGTTTTGCTCACTTTTGTAATCCTCTATTCTGAGGGAGGAGCAGATTGTCACAGAGCCTGGCCATGACCTCCCCCATGCAGGGACCCAGGAGGGGCTTCCACACCCACCCCAGGCGCGCCTCACTTCTGGCCTGTGCTCACTTCCTCCTCCCATCTATCTACGTGGGTACATCCAGTCTCTCTTATCTCCAAGGCGCTGGGACCACAGACCATTTGGCACCCTGCTGCATCATGCCTTAGAGATTGTTGACATTTCCACAGGCCCTGCTGGAATGCCTTGACTCTGGGGTGTCCGAAACTGTGGGTCTTGACCCTGTAGTAGCCTGAGAAATAAAGTGACTGTGTCATGACCAATGTCAAAAACAGACAAGAAGACTATGGAAGGTTTTGAAAAAAATCAGAGGACCAAACAGAGAACAGGAACGCGTGCGTTTCATGAAATGTTTGTTTTGGTTGTTATTGAGTCAACTGGGTCAATACCTAAACGATATTTCTTGCTGGGAGTTTTAAATGGAACAGCCTAAAAGCCGTCTCCCCCAGAGGAGACGCACATGCTAACCCGCCACAGAAGGAGGGGATAAATGCCAGAACACAGATGTGTTTAGACTAATGGAGGAGAAGAGAAACGGCTAGTTCTGTGGAGGGCTGGCCTCTTTTCCTAGGGCTGTCAGAACAAAGTACCACTAGCTGGGCCGCTTAGAGCGACAGAAACTTACTGTCTCAGTCCAGAGGCCAGAAGTCTGAGGCCACGATCTTGTCAGCGCAAGGCTCTCTTTGAAAGCACTCCCAGGTCCCACCCAGCTTCTGGGGGGCCCTCGGCTTGTGGCAGCCAACTCCAGACCTCGCCTGGGGGTCTCCGTGTGCACGTGTGGGTCCCAACTCCCCCTTCTTATAGGGACCCCAGTGGTGTCACATTAGGGGCCCACCCTAATGCCTGCAATCAATCTAACTAACTAATTACATCTGTAACCAGCCTATTTCGAAATAGGTTTACTATCTGAGGTGGGCCGCGGGGGGGGGGGGGGTCAGGACTTCAACACACGATTTTGGGGAGACACAAGTCCACCCACAGCAGGGAGTCAGGGAAGCGAACGGTGTTCGCCCTGAACCTGAGCATCGGCAGGCGTTTTCTACTGACGCAGGAGGTCCTATCAGATGAAGTTCTGGAAGCAAGGAGCTCTCTGGGCCCCTGCCCCTGCCACGCACAGAGCCAGGCAGCCACGGGCCACACTTGCTAGCCACGGAGATGGCATCATTATTCCCCTGGCGCACCCAGCATATAGCTCTTTCTTGAGGAGCCACAAAGGAGACCACTTGTCTGCAGGCGGCTCAAAAGCCCCCCACACCTTGCATTTCAGAGTTGGTAAACACTGGACCACCTATGTCTGTCACAGGCAGGCTCTTGCTTTTTCCCCACAAGGTATGTTCTCATTTCCATTTGTACGCTGCAGAAACCGAGGCCCAGAGGGGCCAACTGAACTTGACCCAGGCCCACAGCCGGTACATTCAGAACTAACGTTCAGTTTTAGCTGACTGCCTTCAGAGCCAGTTTAAGACTTGTTTTTTTTTTTTTTCTGGTTCCACCATGGCAAGAGGTACCTCCTGAGGAAGTCCACGCTTCGTGTCATTCCCTTGACAGCCATTCCCATTTGGCCAGGGCTGGTTGCTCTGCCCCTCAGCCCTTCTATGTATCTTCAGACAGCTGAACTAGAAGAGGAGCGCGTGGACGTAGGGAACGAGGCTTTACGAAGAGAGAACCCCATCCCTTCAGGAAAATGCAGTGCCTGGAGGGAATCTAACCAGGGCCTAGACCCCTCAGGGTATCGAAGCTGGAAGGGAGCCCAGAACGCGCTGCAGCCCTTTCTGTCATGGGAGGTGACCCCGAGGGAGGGGTGTCTGGCTCCCAAATCTGCAGCTGGCTGGCCACAGGGTCAGTCCTGGAACGGAAGGCTAGGTTCTGGGACACTGACCTACTTTGGGAGTTGAAGTGATTATTTCAACTGCCCACCCCGGGGGCAAAATACAGACAGTTGAAACCAGTCGGGCGAGGCCAAGCCCTAGGGATTTGGGAGCAGGCCGATCAGTCATTCAGCGTTAATGAGGCTTGCTCAGCTCACAGGACCCACTGGGGGGAAACCGCACGTGGGAAAGACAGGTCCGCTCTGAGCACCTTAGAGTGCAGTCGTCGGGGAAGCAATTGATGGGAACGTAAAACAGCCTGAAACCTCAGGCATTTGAAAAAAAAAAAAAAAAAGAAAGAAAAAAATTGAGGAACGAAGGAATGAGTCCCCTAATGAATTGGAGGCCCTATCAGAGCAGGTCACCGAGTCTCGGCTTGCTCTGCCGTGACATGGGAGTTTCTCCCACCTGACCTTCCAGAATTACTAGATGGCTCCAAGAAAGATGATGTGTACAAAGACCACAATAGGTACGAACAGGATAACTGCCAGTTACTTCTTGCACTAATTTCCCGCATGGGGTGCCCGGGCCTGAAGCCTCCAGGGCCCAGCAAGGCAGTCTCCTGGATGTCACGGGCCCTCGAGGCTGTGCCTGAGTCCCCAGCACACCCGGGGCCCAAGGTGGAGGTGGAACAAGTCCCCCAGTTTCTTGGCTCCCCTGCAGCCAAACGCCTGGTTATTGGAAACCATCTAGGTCTCATGAAGATGTCACTTTTCCCCAGGGATTTTTGGAGGCCACGCGAGCGCTCTCTCGTCCATAAAGCGGGCGGTAAATGACAGAGGTACGATGCAAACACGGGACCCCCTGGCACCGAGGCCCAAGCCCTCCCCGCAGGCTGCTCTGTCCATACCGCTAACTGCTCCTCCCCTTCACCTCCTCCCGGAAAAGAATCAGCTTGGGACCAGCCACCCTTCCCCAGTTGGAGGAGGTGGCGGCAAAGCCTCTCAGGATGACTGAGGCACTGCTCCGAATGTGCAGACTCGTTAGGCTGTGTGTGGATGGGGGCGGAGAGACCAGGTTCCAACTAGCGTCCGAGGCTCTTGGATGAATTCTCATCCAGAGTGTACATCTCAACAGCACTTACCTTTCTTTCTTGGGAGGTGGACTGGCCAGGGGCCTTTTCCGCCCTTTTGGAAGACTTGGAGGAGGTAGAGGAGACGCCCTGGGCGCCGTGCGGCTTCAGGTCCTGGAGGCTGCAGAGGTACTTCTTCCGCAAGGCCAGCAGCTCCTGCAGGTACTGCAAACAGTCCTGGGTGCGGGAGTACATCCATGCCCGGTCCCCTTCCTGCTGCAGGTAGTACAGGCTGGTGTCCATGCTGCCGGTGCTTTTGTATTTCTTTAAGGACTCGCTGAACGTCTCCCCGTGGTCCCCCACCACGTACATGGAGCTGCTGAGGGTCAGCCTCACCGCGGGGCCGGCTCGGTCGTAGAAGGCACTCTCGGCCACCTCCGCCTTCCTCTGCGGGCCAGGGTTAAAGAGGGAGTGCAGCTTTCTGAGCATGGTGCTCAATTTCCCTCTGCGGGTGCCTTCCAGCCGCCTGCGCCCTGCCACTCGATCTAGCTGGGGGCAGGGGTGCCAACGCACGGGCCTCCCGCCATCCGCCTTCCAAGAGGCCTCGGGTCTCTGCAATCCCGGAGAGTGTGGGCTCGGTCAGGCGGGCAGCCAGGGCATCTCTCGTGGGGGGGACGTTTACATCCAATGACCAAGATGCCATCAACCACCCGGGAATACGAGGACGTGCCCTGGGAGTTTAAAAGCAAGGGCCCCAACTGCCTTCAAGCACCACCGGATGCAAATACCTTCCGTGCTCTTCCATCGAAGGCTCCAGCTGGATGCGGAAAGCGTGGCAAGGCTGCTTCTGCTCAGCTGTTTTCCTTCCTGTTCGTTTTCCACTTCTGGACGCGGTCTCACTCCGTTCGATTTGATCTTGGCGCGGACCTTCACATCTCCACCTTGGCCGAGCTGGCTCTGGTCCCGAACGCCTCGCATCCAAAATGAAATCCTCCTTTGCAGAAACACCACGAAGCCAAAAATCGTGTGTTGCTTGAGGTAAAATCCAGTCCCCTGAGAGAGGCCAGGGTGGACGCGGCCAGGGCCGTTGGCAGGAGGCTCTCAGATCTTCGATAAGCTGGGCCCTGAGCAGGCATGCGGGCGTCCTGGAGGCGCCTCGCCCTGCCGTAATGAGACCTCGCCACGGTTACCGGATAGCAGCCCATTGTGGAGACAGGAGGATTCAGATATCGGGACAACTTTCTGCACAAAAGCCTTAGTGAGCCGAGGGTGGCCGTGTACACGGGGCAGTCCCCCGTCCTTCGGCTTGAACACATTTTCATTTCAATAGACTAGTCGTGATCAGGCATCAACTGCTTTTCCAAGAGCATCATTTGAATACATTAGAATCTCAGGGATGTCCCCGCTAGGATCTTTCTCCGGCAAATGGCAAACGTCATTATTACGTTCGTTTCTCCATACAGTCTATTTCTCTCCCTTCTTTACTCAGAGGACTGACGCCTCTAAATCTCTAGCACAGGCATTTGCTGAAGCTGGGACAGCTCTTAGAGGAAGACGATGAGACCCCAGACACCGAATGGGAAGTGTTCCTGGATGTGTGTATCAGCACGGTTTATCTTTGCCGGACTTTTGTTCTGTTTGTTGGTTGGTTTGAGAGAGAGACAGAAAGCGTCAGGCATTTTGTCAGACACTTGGAGAGGTCTGTGACACAGAAACAAAACTAAAATAATGTTTATATCCTGCTTCAGAGCGAGGACTATGCTTTTTGAAATGCAGCTAGCAGAGGACATCGTAAGTATCTTCGTACTGAGCACGGGTTCCGTGCGTGGCATTCCAGACACGATGTTGACCCTGTGACCCCATGCCCCTGAACGTGCAGGAGCACTTAACGTTGTACAGTAGCAGAGGGCATCAGGGCTGATCAAGTGCCTCCACACACATTAATTTATCGAACTGTCATGGCTTCCTTGGGACAGAAGTGTCCTCTCCATTGTCATTATTCGTCCTCAATTCACAGGCGAAGAAAGTGAGCCTGGAGCAGTTGGGAGACTTACCTAAGGTCTAAATCGGTGAGTGAGAAATTTGTCCTCAGACCCAACCCTCCTTCTTCAAGCCCCACTGCCCCCTCGGTGCCATGGACTCATGACGTCACACGCTCTGAGGTCTCTGTCCTGCCCATTTCTCTGGCTCCGCACAAGCACAATATGGAAGTACTGAGGATAGACAAGAACTGACAGAACTTTTCCTAGAGGAATCCAGGGACTGTGACCTTTCTCAGTCGCTTCTGTGCCAGTGGGCTTACGATGAGATTAATTCAACATAAATTTAGAAAAGGTTTAAATAGATAAAAAATGAAGTGTAGGGGTGACTTGGTGGCTCAGTCAGTTAAGCATCCGACTTCAGCTCAGGTCACGATCTCAGGGTTCGTGAGTTCAAGCCCCGCGTCGGGCTCTGTGCTGACATCTTGGGGCCTGGAGCCTGCTTCAGATTCGTGTCTCCCTCTCTCTCTGCCCCTCATCTGCTCATGCTCTGTCTCTCTCTGTCTCTCAAAAAT